CTAGTATGGTGCATATAAAACATAGTGTACAAGCTACATAATATATTGGTTGTACAACATACTTATTATGCAGTTCATTAAAATCACAATTTTTATCGGCCGTATTTGAATGCACTTTAATTCGAATCTTAGTGACGCGTCACATAAAGATGCTCAAATAATACAATCGTTAGATTCACTCATACACAAAATTAAATCCAATATTATTAAAAACGTTACAGCCATTTGTTTAGTTCAGATTTGCATTATATGAATCATTATTTTCTTTACTATCAGCCAACTCTGTCAATATTATTTTATAAATTACTTGCCGATAAAAATCTGTTGTCATAGAACTTAAGAGTATACCTACAGAATAGGCACTATTAATTTATAGTTTATTGTATAGTTCTATAAAAATAGATTGTAAAAAATGGAGGTAGAAAAGGTAGCATTAAAAAAACAGCATAGTGGGATATTAGATTTAGATAGTAGCTGTTTTCAGAACTAACGTAGCACTACAGTACTATTTACTATACTAATATTATAAAGAGGTAAAGTTTGTTGGTTTGTGAATTGTGAGTTTGTGACGTTGTAGGGGGTAATCTCTAGATCTACGGAACCGATTTAGATGTAATTTGGTAAGAAGATAGTTTGAGACCCTGGGAAGGACATAGGATACATTTTATCCCGGTAATCATCCCTTAAAGGGGTGAAAATGGGGATGAAACCTTGTATGGGGAATCAACCTAGGGACGAACCCGAGCGAAGCGAGGGTGAGTCACTAGTATTACATACATTTAAACTGTATTCAGTCCTTTTCAACGACTCACTGCTGGGCACGGGCCTGCCTTTAATGCGAGGGGATCAGACGATAGCCCACCACGCTGGCCAAATGAGGGTTGGCGGACTTCACACTAGAAAACTTATATACTTATAGATATTTTAAAATTAATAAAATCTTGAGTGATGTGACAGTTTTATTTATTTTATTTTTATAATAAATAGATGCCCAAAAGGTACATTATTGTTTCAAAAAAATAATTTAAGTAAAGAAAAACGATGTAATGCGCTCGTTAGCTAAAATTGTGTTATTTTATTATATTTTGCGTTATAGAAAAACGACCAGTCACATATTGGGTTTGTGGTTACAGATGGCGCTGTTACACATTATGTGTTGTTAACCTCGCTTAAAACATGTTAAATTCACTAAAATATATTTAATTAAATTAAACCATTGATTTCTATTAACCGGTTAATAAACGAGCGATGAATTGACCATTACATGAACGAAAATTCTATAATATAGTATTATGTCATGGGTATTTATGTAACCAGCCAAAAATCCACTTCATACTGGATATAATAAATATAGTATGTACATATTTATTATAAATAAATATTTTGGTACATTAACACACAGCACCATCTAGTTCCATGATAAGCTACGAGGCTTGTGTTATGGATACCAGATAGTTAATCCATACATATATATATATATATATATATATATATATATATATATATATATAACTTTAAATACACACATACACATTATAAATAAAATTATGCACAAGACACCTACATAGATTTATTCAGCCATATCAAAATTGATGCAATTTTCGACCTTTGTGTCTTTAGTTTATTGAGATTATTTAACATTCAGATCGGAAAGTCAGTTTAATACGATAGTTTCATAGTGACAATTACGAAAGTCACACCATACTATAAAAAAGTTTTGAAATATTATACTTTTATTTCAACTCTAATCACCTAAAACTTATTCCTGTGCGTTTATAATTTCACTATATACTTATCTATATATAGTTTAATTTTATCAATTATTTTACATATTATAGCTTTTAGAAGGCGAACTTCTTATGTTTTCTACAATAGTACCTATGAATTTGCTTAAACATGGTTAAGGCTTTTTTTAATAAAAAATAATAATAATTAAAAAGTATTTATAGAAGAAATTAAAAAAAAAAACAAAAAAAGAATGAAAAAAAGACGTATTCATGTATAAACAGATACAGTAAAGCCTCTAAGAGTAACCTACTTATAATTGTCATTTAGAATATTCGTATATCTTAATGCTAAATAAACGTTTTTATACTTTAATTATACCAATAAATTTCAGTAAAATATAAATCACTAATACTGGATGGAAATATACAAAGCATTTTAGTGCAAGTGTAAATCTCACTAGAATACGGATTAAAGAATAATTATTTTAAAAATACACCACAGATATACGAAATATTAAAACCTCAGCTAATATAACATAGATAGTAAAGATCTATAAAACTTACCTACTACTTCTAGGTCTTTGGTAAACTAAAAAAATAGGAACTTAATATAATTACTAGAAAATATTAAAGACATGGCAAGAAAAGAGATCTACATATTAGTACTTAAATGCATTTAAAAAGATATTATTGAATTGATTTGAAAAAACTTTTTCAGTCTTTGAGTAAAAAAAACCTGCCTCTATAATACATAATGCATATTTGACATAAAATAACCTAATTTACCATTTATTTTGCAAACAATGTTTGTAATGAATCCTACCAAAATAAGTAATGCATAAAAAACGGTTAGAGTTTAGTTCCCAGGCAGTATAAAACTTCACCTCAAGTTATAATAAATAACATGTAAAATGTAAAATTATCGTTACCAGTAAAAGTGTACAAGATTAGAATATCAGAATAAAGAAGTTTTTATACACTAAATTTCATATAGGATATAAAACACACTATACCTATAATTTACGGCATTTAATATTAAGGCAAGCAAACACAAACTCCTAGTCTGTAGACCCATTGCTTATCTCACATATCTCTCACAGACCAAATATGTAAAATATCATTCTTAGGCCACTATTAATTGATCGAGATTTGCTACAATGCTTATTGACGCAGTAACACTGTGGTAGCTATAGAAAACAATATTGCTACTTTTGTTCAAAATGTAGAGTGCTAATGTACTCTTATATTAATAATGATTTCTCTGGCTGCTAGGACGAAAGAGCAAATTGTCAAAGGACAATAGCTAAGCTAAGCTACAAAATTCTCCTAAAACCAATGTGGATGTATGGGATACAGCTCTGTGGAAGCGCCAGTAACTCAAATATTGTCATAATACTACGACTACAAAATATGATTTTGTGCACCATTTCCAATGTTCCTTGGTTTGTCACAAACAGTGAAATCCATGCCAATCTACAAATAACCACAGTGAAGGAAGAAATTAGAGCTGCCTCAAAAATATATTAACAACGGCTTCCCTTACATCCCAATCAATTGGCAACCCAGCTTACAAGCCAAAAACATCTTAGGCTCCTAAAAAGGCATGATGTACTACAGCTGCACGACCAAAAGGGAGTCTAAGTGCGAAAAACGAGTCCACTTTACATTACATTACAGCTGCACGAGAGAGTGTAGCACCCTCATGACACGAGTAGTGTCCTCAATGGAGGGCTCACTCATCACACCAGTTATCGCACCACCTATCCGCTTATAGTCCAGGGACTGATTGCAGATGAAAACACATTTTTTTTATTAATAATGAAACTAGGGATACGGTGAGAAGAGGCTCAATCTTTGTACTTTAAGGGAAACCCCCCTGTGAGGGCTATGCCATAGATTTTGACACTACAGGACTATGCAATACTGAAACTAACTATCGGACTAAAGAGAGTAGACTCCTTCTAGCATCTAGGCAATCTAGGCTAAGTTTGTTGAAGTGAAACTTCTTTGCGCGCGTGAGAGTAAAATTTCAATGTCGCGTCACGAAAAACCGTTGTGGTTGCCAGAGTAACTGCTTTTTTGTGTAATATTCATTTGAATCATTTCTGTCTGAGTATAATATTAAGTTTTTATTAATTTATTAATCTTACAGACTTGAAATATAAATAAACCAATGAAGTTTCACTTCTAACATGTTTTTATAGAAACTCACTTTTTTAAAATGGTTATGTTTAATCTTCCCTTACGAAGACTTACATTGTCTGTTCGCAACTCTTCCGCTTCATAACAATATATATGAAAGTACAATTGTTGTTCTCTCTCTATACAAGAATATATAGCGGAACATTAGGAACTTTGAAGAGTAAGTAGTAAAGCTTATTTATCTTTTTTAACCTCTACAGAAATAATTATATTAATAAATATATATCGTAACCTTAATTTTAACATTACTTATTATGATTAAAAACTATTATTTGGGTATTATTAATGCACATTTTATGTGAACACAATTTTCGGCGGAAAAACTGAACAATTTAGTGAGTCCAGATCACAGTAACTTTTAGAATTTAAAACATTTACTACATTGCTCTAATGGCTAATCTCACCTATTTGCCTATATCTAAAATATAAAGTAAAAAACTCAGGCAAAGAGTTTTTTTTTTCAAAATATATACATTCAAACTCATAATTAAAATATGTTGACATAAAAATTATATTACATGATAAGAATATATTCATATTATTCTTATCATGCCATATTCACCATATTCATAATAAGTTCAAAAACTGTTTTAGAATCTAGATAGTAGATGTCCAGTACCATCAGGTATATGGTCCAAGTTGATTTTGATTTGATCATACATAATTCAGTCAGATTAATTAGAATTTTTGCAAACTCTTATATTTATATATTATTTATTCATACTATATGGCTTTTTTCTGTTAAGTGTCATGACTCTACTCGTAAAATAAAATTACTGAATAGTAGTTATTTACAGATGAGGAACTTTAAGTTGTTGAAAGAAATTTTTATAGATAATTTTAAAAAAAATTGGTTAATTTTCAAAAATCTCTTACTTTTAGTTTTCAAATATATGTTTTAATCAAATTTGTGCAAACTTAAATTTGTGCAATTAATAATTAAATATAGCAAGTTTAGCTATATATTTTAATAAAATTTTCTAAAAAAATCCCATTAACTTACTTGGTACAATCAAGTCAATCACTTTTGTTTTAATAATAAGAGGTAATAAACCTGTAGTACACATCCTACAGAATGATAGCAACTTCGGGAACAATAATTGTACAGTTTTCATTAGCCGATGGTGATTTTTCAATGTATTTAGGATCAAGCTTTTCCATCTCAACATTTAAGCCTCTTTTCTTAGCTGTTTCCACAATGTAGTGCCGCATCTTTAAATCACTGAAAATATTTAACATAAATATTAAACAGATTTAAAAAAATCACATGGTAGTAGTTTTATTTAAGTCATTGTACAAAAGCACAAACTTCAGTCGCCTCAAAGTAAAAACTGAGGTAAAACCAAAAAGAAAATGAGTTTACAAATAATACTTAAATATAGATTAATTATTACTCAGAAATGAAGTCATATAATTACATGTATATTTACTTTTAAAAATATTTTAGTCAAACAAAAACTGTTTCCAAAAAGTGAACATTATTTTCGAATATCAATAGAGTCAAAAAGTAAAAAATTAAAGAAATATCGAGTAATTACCTAAGTTTCATACATAAACAACATAGGCAACACAACAGTACCATAGTCACCAACACACAAAATGTAGTTATCACTAACTCCATTGAACTCAAATCCATGTTTTCTTACAGAATTTATTTACTGAAAATACAAAAAAGTTACAAATTAGCACTAAAACCTAAAACAAATATAGGAAATAGGAATATTAATTTTAAATATGTACATCTTTGTAGGTGTCAATTACAAAATTCGAAAAAAAATATACTTACGCTTTTTTCACACATTTAAGACATCAAAACATAATTATCAAATATCAGGTCCCTAAATCAAAATGTTTTCTAATATATGTAAAGCGAAATCATTTAAAAAACTCTCAAAAAGTATTGTATTGATCTCGTATTATCTTATCTATATTGACATTTGACGTATAATGACAGATTGCATGATGAAGTAGTAGATTAAACAGAAATACTGCAAAAGAAGCAATACCTACCAGCTTCAGAAATCAGACTCACATAGACATGAGAGTTCAGACATTATTACCTAGACCCTAGCACAGAAGTTTATATACTATGCTAGTTGATATATAATTTGCTTAGTAAAGTTCAGAATAATAAGCTTAAAACATTTTACCACTATTACGTACACTGAGGAAGGCAAATTAGCAGCTTAAACATCAATTATTAATTAGGAGTTATGTTAAATCACAAAGTGTAGAATATCTAATTTAAGGTTAATCTCGACGATGTATTCTACATTCTATGACATTGGTGAAAAAATTATGCTTATCTAACCCACCTACAAAAAAATAAAAACCATATAAAGAAAGATAATAGAATTGTACATATTAATAAAGATTGGTGTGTAGCTTTAAACTTTGAGGATTTCATAATCTCTGTTATCATTGTAAACTATAAATTAAGGGTATTACTAAAATCATATTCATTCTAATAAACAAACATGAAATAAAAGTAATCATATTATTTGTTCTGTTATTTAATAGGTATAGCTGAAAATTCTTTATTATTCTATATCAAACAACAAAAACATCAGTTCCTGGTACAATAATGTTGCAATTTTCTTCACCCGGCTGTGTCGGTTTTTTTATTGTTTTCCGAAAACGAAGATCCCTATTTAATTTATTAGCTAAAGCCTCTACATCATTTTTGAGGCGCGTATCCCTAAAATATTAAAATTAAAATATTATTTATAATAAAATAGTAATATTAATTAATATTATAATATTATATACTTTTGAATAAGTACTTACATGTAATTAATGCGACAACAATATACGCACGCTGTAAGCATGCATGTTGTAGCACAAGTCACAAATAATATAGCAGAAAATAATATGCCTTGGAAAATTTTGTCTACTTTTTGTCGAATATTGTCTGAAAAGAAATGTAAAAATTAAAATACAATGTGTTTATATATATTTAATATTTATATAAAAAAGGCCATATTATGGCAGCAAATTAAGTTTTTACGATGCCTCAAACTAAATCAGCGCAATAACAGAAAGTTTTTTATATTAGCTAAGTATTATTATGATAAAACTAAAAATTACCCTGTGTATTATGTTTTTCCGTTAGTGACATTAATAGTTTCTTTACATTTACAACACACTCATCTAACGTTTCATTGTAAAATAGGACTCTGAAAATAAAATAGCATTATCAAGAATATCATAAATATCAGACGTTGTAATTTTTTTTTGTATCTGTTCCTAAATAAATAAAATAAAAATAAAATAATAAGAAGAAATAGTTAATATAATAATCTGATAATATTTGTAGGTATTATTATTACATTGAACCTCAAAAAAGTATTTTATTGGTCTGAGCATTGAACATAGTTTCGAAACATTTAAAATACATACCTACAAGTACAGACTACAAAATAATTAAAACGAAAACCTTTTAAGTTTTAATTATTAACTTACGCTTCCGAACTATGACAACCACATCTATTTTCGCAAATATCGTTATTAACACAATCCCCGTGCTCACCACATCCTTGATCAATTGGCTAAACAAAAAATTAATAAAGTTAGGTAAGTATTAAAAATAACCTATCTAATATAATTATTCAAACTTTTTACATACATTTTGATTTACGTCCTTTCTTTCAGCAGCTAAAAATAAGTTACATGATTAATAAATAAATTTTTAACAACTAAACTCTGTAATATAACAAATCCCCATTATTAAATATCAAAAATTCTTTCTTTAAGGAATCCAGCATCATTTAAATCGTTTTTTGTAAAATGCTGTAAAATTAAAAGATTAAAAAAATCCGAATTCCAGGCACTAAAATGTAAAAATAACTAAACGAGGGTTTTCATTTAGAAGAGATACCTAATCAGATATTTTGGAAGTCGGTGCCAGCCGATGCAAAGCAAATCTATATACATATAATAAAATTCTAATGAAGTCAAATCTATAAATTAAATATCTTTTGGAAAATCTTATTGATATAGACATTATTATCGATACAAATGCCGAATCTATAGTTTTTAGAATTTTTGTCTGTCTGTCTGTTACCGCATCACAGAAAAACCACTGGAGGGATTTTGATGAAATTTGGAATGGTGATAGCGGGTTATCCGGATCAACATATAGGATACTTTTTACCGTGGGAAAGTGTATCATTTCTGAGAAAAAACACAAAAACTGCAATGTAAGAGTGTACTAATATGTAAAACCTAAGAATTTGGTTTTTGATTATCTGAACGCGGGCGGAGCCGCGAGCAATGCTAGTAGTTTATAAAGTTACATGGCATTTTATTAGGCGAAGTAGGCTGCGCTTTTGAATGGCATTGGAGTACGCGAATTTGAATTCCAATTCTAGGACAATATTTTAGTCTTGTTAATATGGCGTTGGGATGAGTAAAATAGCCACCAGGGGCGATAGTTTATAGGTTCTTAATACTCAGCTTAAGGGTACTAGACTTAGTAACGAAAGCATTTTGAATGATAGAAGGGTAAGCGTCTGCGTGTATGATAGTTCTATTAATATATGTAAATAAGTCTATTAGGTACTTATATTCAGAATTTACAATCCTCTTAACGAACTCGAAAGCAAGGAGAACAACATAAATTTGTAAATGTGTTGTTACGCGCCGCTAGCTTAGTCGAAGACATCGAGCGGCATCGTACAATCTGGTGTTCTCTACACAGGTGCCAGGCAGGCAGGAAAAGTATAACGATGAATATATTTTGACGTTTGGGCGGGACGAATGATTTTCTCTTGTGTGTATAAATTTTATTAATAAGGCACTGACAATATAACGATTAAAACAGAAGAAGTGTTTCATTGTTTAACATTATATTAAAAATAAATTATAACTTACAAGTGTTTGCACTTAAAAATAATAGTATCACAAATAACGCAAACATAATATTAATGTTATAAATTAATTAATAATCACAAAACTGGCATAATCTTTACAATTCTATAATGTTTTCAGATCAGCTACTACTTGCCTATGTACAAAGAGAATACACGCGAGTGTTTTCAATCTCTGGGCGGCGACTAAAATAGTTCGACCTCGAACCAAATAGTAGTAACGTCATTACCTGGATTATGAATTACAATTTTTGTTATAGATGCAAGAAATTAAGTAAAATACGTAAAATAAAAATAATATTATCGTTTTCAGTAGATACCTACTCCTTGCAGGTTTTACGCTTAGGTCTAGAGTCCAGACTCCAGTAGGTAATTAAACCTATACCTTATTTTTATAATATAATTTTTATATTATAATAATACTAATATAAGATAAACATAAGAAATAAAGAATTGCTTGAATTTAAAGGTTTATTTTTTATAATTATTGCATTCTAAAATTTCTTCAAAGCAGGGTTCGAAACAACGACCACTCCGGGATAAGTAGTGGTAGGTTCGAAACGATAATTATCATGATATTTATCATAATAAGTATACGTTGATAATTATCTTTGATAAATATAATCGAAATTATTAATATTACAACTCTTCAAATTGTTAATCAGCAAACTGAACTCTCTCAAAGCAAACTGAATCAGCTCAAAAAACTCAATCAGCAAACTGAGAACTGAGGATGAGGATGATATTCTACTCATTAATTTAATTAAATAGTGCCTATGTAGTTGGTTTAATTTATTCTGTTTTTGTTTCCAAGTTTGTATGTCAAAATTATGAAAAAAATAATAGGTAATAAAAGATTATCTTGATTGTTAAAAGTTTATAATATATTTTAACGTAAATTATGATAGGCAAGTAGTCAAATACACACAAGGATTGTTAAGTTTATATTATTATGTTTGAGATAATTAACTTGGTAATTTCATTCTCTGCTTCAAAGTTTTATTGTAAATGTTTTTTTTTGGCAATATCATTAACCAAAATGCAACATGATGGTTTTAGTAAAATAGGGAATGACTCTTTTATTTTATGTTCTTACATAAATATTTTTTTATATTAGGTACTTATATTTTATTTATAAATTCTTTAATTGAGTAAAATGTATTATTTTTGTTCTAATTTTTTTTTAAGTAAAAATTCTTTATGGGTGTCACACGATGAGTCATAACAGAAAAAAGTTACGTTTTTGTAAAGGAAACGGTTGTTACGGAAGTGAATAAATATTCTATTAAAAATTATTTTAACTATTATATGAATAATTTAAAGAATAAATAAAATAAAGATCTATAGTCCGAGCTCAGTATTATTATTAATTTTATTGGAGTACATCATTTATTGTATCATTACAACATTTGATTGAAAATAAAATTTTATTTTAACGCCATCTGTACTACGTGAATAATAAAATATTGTTTTCCTTTTTTTAATTTTAATTGATTGTTTTTGGGGAAGAATTTTGCCTTTTTCTCCCGCCAGATGCTGCAACCACTATGGCCCTCAGTATATTTTAAAGCTCTATAGCGTGGAATTTTTCATTTTATTTAAAATTTAATTAAACTGTGCAGTGCCAGGATGTAAAGAAAATGGACATGATTTGTTCTCAAAAAATAAAAACTAAAGAAATTATGGGCTAAATTAATAAGATGACCAAAATTGGTGAAATCACAATCTTTATATTTATGACCATCTCTATTTGTGGCCATCATTTTAAAGAAAAAGTCTTAAATCGTCTATAGGTGATTATTTTTTGTACTTTTTTACTATTAATTACAGAGTTGAATACAAACTTTCATCCCCCGTTTTATCCCATATGGGATTGAATTTCGAAAAATGCTGAAACACATATTTATTAATTCTATTGAAGAGCATTAATACCAAGTTTAAAGTAATCACTACATACTATAAAACAAAGTCACTTCCAGCTGCCTGTCTGTCTCTATGTATGGTTATATCTTTAAAACTACGCAACGGGTTTTGATGCGGGTATTTTGGTTTATCATAAATAATTCTTTGCCCATATAAACTTTATTACCCCATTTACCTCTTTAAGGGATAAGTTTCGAAAAAAATCAAATACATATATTTCTTCATTTTTATATGAAAACTAAACACCACTTTCTGTGTGTTTCACATTAAGAATGACAGAACTTCATCCAATCTTTAATCCCCTATTATACCCACTTATGGTATGAATTTTGAAAAATCCTTTCTTACTTTTCGATGCCTACATCATAAAAGGAATACACCCTCCAAATTTCACGTTTCTACGACCAGTGTTTTAGGCTGTGTTTTGATTCATTATTCAGTCAGGACCTCCGCAGGATGCACCTCTCCTTCTCAATTCTTAAATTGCTTAAACTCAGACTGAATGTAAATAGGCCATTCATGTGGCGTCCTCCATTCGAGAAATCTTCTCCAATCTTTGTTTTTAATTTTAATTAGTCTTACGTTTAATTTTATTTTATTTGCTATCTGTATAAAAGTGACATTTCAGAGAACCTTGACAAGACGTTTTTGTTTATCTGTGCAGCTACAACTAGTAAACTCAAAAAACCAGTTTATTTACTGATCACATTCAGTAGGAATTTACGTCGCGCGCGGCAAAAGTGTGAGCGTATCGTGGTTCCCATAAGAATACCGTATACGCTTTTGCGCAGTCACACTTTTGATATTTTCAATATGATATAAATCTAGTTACATCTAATTTGTATTTATTTAATTTATGAAACATCTATCTACTTAGTTAACTAAAAAAGTAACGTTAAAACCGTAGGTGTGTCTATCGAGTAGGTTCGAATTTCGATGTGAACATTGTTTGTGCATTCACGTGAAAACGAATGAAATGTTACGTGCTTAAATAGTTATTAAAAAGAGATGTTATTTCGTTGTGGATTAATTTTAAATCCATAATTGTGTACTTGTGTGCTTCAACTTATTTGCGAGACAAGTTATTAAGTCAACGTGAGTAAAAGTAACATTTAAATAACTGTAATCTTGCTTTAGATATCGTAAGCTATATGGTTGAATAAGCAATCATAAATTTTTTAAGCCATTGATGTTTTCTTGTTAAAGTTAAGTCAAAACATCTTTTTTTCTAATTAGATTCTTGTAATTACAATGAAATTATTGTAATATCTGTTCTTACAAGATATTTTCTTGCTTATTAGACTATACTGGGCTTTTATTGAAAATAATAAAGAAATGCATCATATAGATGTCTTTCAATAATATAATAAATGAATATTTTTGTTTTAGATGTTTGAAAAACTTGTTCATCATAAGCACATCACATCCTGATGTTATCTAGAAGATATAGTGAGATTGGCTAACATGTAGCCATGGCCAGCGGCAAGGCTTTGTATTCTATAGCCGTGGTTGTTCTTGGCTTTATCTGCTTTGTCGTTGGAGCTGTAGCTGTTGGACTACCTACTTGGGGACATTTTTATAGTAGTAAGTATAATATTTATATGATTTAAGATAAGTTTTGGTCAGAGTGACATAAAAAATAAGATTAAATTAAAATACAAGTAAACAAACACCCTCAAAGATTTACTTGAGGTGTCATAATGATGCTACATTAGCTCTTTATAATGTAGTATTAAATAATAATTAAGTTCATACTAAATAGTTTTCTAATGTTACAATTTATAAATTCACTTTAATTAACTTTTACACCTTTTAATTTCATAACTCAACAAGTAATTTCTAATGAAAGATAAATTAATGATAATAATAAGAATCATGTTCAAAAATATTAAGTATGAGTAAAATAATGGTGTATATGAATTGTGAATAATAGGTTAGTAGGACAGAAGAGTAATATTGATTTTACTGTAATAGGTTGGTATGGCAATTCCCATTTGTTAGGGTGAAAACTTACACTTTTTACTTATAAGAGAAAATATTGTGATGTTTTGTAATTGGTCTAAACTCTTAAATCTATTTAAAAAAAGATTGTTAAAGTTAAATAGTTTGTAATGAAACCTTTTTCATTGTAACTTTTTCTGATTTGGAAAAAAATATACTATACTTAGAAATAGTAGGATATTGTAAAAAATATTATTATTTATAATAACATGACTAAACACTTAACTTTTAATAATGATAAAAAAAATTATTCTACTCTTTGTGTGGAATTTTACTTGAAATCTTGTCAAAAATTAAGGGCCCTTAGGTCCCCTCTTAGGTTAGGCTTTAAAGATCAATTTATATTTGACAAATATATCACGTAAAATACTATAGAAAATATACACTCGAATTTTAATACCGAATTCAAAAAAATTGAGAGCAAAAATAGTAAGAGAAGTGCTCATGGCTTTCAAGTGAATTGAAATATCAAATACATAATATACTTATGAGCTGTAGGTAACAGGTAGTTTGTTTAATGATTTGTGTAGCAATTAACATGTACCTATCTTACATACAGCCATATACACTTTAATTTTTCGTTTTGTTAAGATATTTGTCATAAATGAACATTCTATACATATCATAAAATTCTGAGTCGTATCTGTACATTAAATATTTGGAAAGTCTTATTGAAATTATTGATTGAAATTGAAATAGTGATCATTATTATCGATACAGAGGCCGAATCTATAGATTTTAGAATTCTTCTGTTTGTCTGTCTGTGACCATATCAAGAGAAAACCGTTATCCAGATTTTGATGAAATTTGGTATGATGATAGTTGATTATCCGGGTCAACATATAGAATACTTTTTACTGCGGGAAAATATCTCATCTTTGAGAAATCTATACTAAACGTTAAAACATAAGTAGAGACGAACCCGACTGAGGCGAACGTGCGCCGCTAGTATATTTATAAAGTCCATATGAGAATGTATGTATTTGTACAATTTAAATTAATAACACTTTTCTTTCTATTTAACTGAAAATTGCATTTTAACATGCAAAATGATTTACGTTATAATTGCTGCAGTCGTATTGATTGTAACCTGTAACCCTTTTTTGTGTACATTGATGAAGGACGTTTAACAGGTACCACAAAAAATAAGGGTTTATTTACACTTCGTGTCTCATGTTGAAATTAAAACTAGAACGGAAGTAATTACGCGTATGGGGTGAAAACGGGCTTATTTTTAAAGTAAAAAAAAAAATGTGTATTATAGTATGTGAGTATAAAAATGTGTATTATAGTATGTGAGTATCATCTTAAAATTCTTCCAAATTAGACAATGTAAAATTTAAATTATGTACTTCTCGTTTATGAATTCTACCGTTTAAATATTAAAACTTTGCTCTCGAACCAAAATTATTTTCTTTGTTTGGATTATACATAATTATAATATATATTAAATATAATATTATTATATAAAAATGTACCAAATACTATTTAAAGGCATGTTACGTCTTTACGTCTTGTGACCATTGCACAATTTACAAGTTATATATTCAAATTATATGTACATTAACGAGCTTTCCGACTAACATCGTAAATATGATTATGTTATCATAAAACATTTGCTTATACTTATTATACAGTTTCCAATCACTTTTCATTTACTAGAAGCGTAAGTATAAACAAATGTAGGTAGGTGTCCAACTGGTTATGAAATGACGCGAGAAATTTTCGTAACAGACTTAACATACGCAGTTGTTTAGGACAACCTTAACCTAATATTCTTCTTATTGACAAACTTAAGAGACGTAGGTATTCAATGATTGCTTAAGACTCTAAATGCTTTTTCTCTTCGTTAGTGACGAAAGAATGTAAGTACCAAAGTATAATTTAAAAAAAAGTACTGCATAGACTGGAATATAATATAATATGCGTATATTATACCTATTTCCTACTCCCGGGTCTCGCTCCTCTGATATTATCATGTGTGAGTATTTCCAATATGATTACCACTTGTCTTACGGTGAAGGACAACATTGCGAGGAAACCTGCGTGTATAAGAGCAGCTAGCATGTTTCCCAGAGACATATGACGTCCGCCAACCTACACTTGGCCAGCGTGGTGGACTATAGCCTGATCCCCCCCTCTTATTGAAAGAAAGCCGATGCCCAACATTGGGACGTCCAAAAGGGCTGAATACAAATTTTATATTCCCTCCAAGACCGCGGACACTACGGCGTTACAGTTAACAAAAGATTTCTTAGAAATTTAATTAATTTCTTAGAAATTGACCTGGAGGTGAAATTATAGTTTAATAAAGTTTTGATAACATATAAATGCAATTCATATTGGCGTTTTTAATAGGTATGCAGTAGGTATTGAGCTAACTGGTTTCACGGTCAATAAAACAATCACAAATACCAGAGATACCGTTGAAAGGTAACGCTCAAACAAAATAATAGAGCATATCGAGTCACACGTTCCCTTATAACATTTATGCATTCAATTATAATAAAAATAGCCATTTTATATTTAATTCATAACAAAACGTTCGTAAAAATACAAAAAATGTTAAGCGATTTAATAAAAAAAAATGTAATTTATTTATTTTAAGAAATTAGTGTGAATATTACACTTTATTTTGTGTAATTGTGTGTATTTTTAGGAACGTAGGCTTTATAACAGATTCTTGTGCCTAAACTCGAGTTGCATTTAAAAATGTGGCCCGCCCGCCAAACGGGGCATTGACCCGCGAGACCTTTGTCACAAAACTTGTAGGAGATACACGAACGCGGAGAGCTTATGGAGATGTTTTTTAAATATTTCGAACATTCAACTCATTTTAGAATATTAAAATGTCTGGACTACACTAATAAATATTACTTTTGAAGACTGCATCGAACGTTGATGAATCAGTTATTCATACGAGCACAAAAACCGTAATATCGCTTTAAAATGTAAAATTCTAAACAGAAACTATTTAAATAACTGTAAAAAATTAAAATGCTTCGACACCTTTACACGTATTAAATATCAACTATTCATTTCATTCTATTACAAATGATGACATGAAATGATACAAGTATATCTATTATCATGTACACTATATAGGTACATATGTATAGGTACACTAGCGACTCACCTTCGCTTTGCTTAGGTTCGTCCCTAGGTTGATTCTCCATACAAACTTTTATCCCCATTTTCACCCTCTTAAAGATGATTTCCGGGATAAAAAGTATCCTATGTTTCCCAGGGTCTCAAACTATCTTCTTTCCAAATTTCATCTAAAAGGGTTCAGTAGATCCAGAGATTAACCCCTATAACGTCACAAACTCAAACTTTATCTCTTTATATTATTAAGTATAGATTCAGCGCATGTTAAGATTTTACAACTACATACATCACGTATAAATGTGTTCAAACTTGCAAAATAGTCTAGCGTACGTTGCGTCCTTTCTTGTTCTTCTTAATAAGTTTATCAAGTTAAATTTATAATGGGCGCCTTTTATACTTGGCTATCAATTTACACTCGCGGTAATAACGGTAAATGTATTACGAGTAGAACATTATACTCTACAAAAAATGTTCACTAAAGTTGCATATAAAGTATATATAGTTGAGGTTGAGCCCTTAATTTCTGAGACAATTAACAAAGAAAAATATATATGGTACTTATAATATGCATATTTAAATATTATGACCATTTAAACTTTAAATATAAATCATTATTTTGTAACGGTATCTATGTATGTATGTATTAACTGTGATAAAATTGCTATACATATTGTATTGTTTTTTCTTTTAAATTTACCGTTTTAGAAATTCCATTCAAACTTTTCTATTAGTCCACTTTTGTCTTAAGTTTTAGTGATACTTATGAGAACTATTTCAATTTCGTGTGTTTTTATAGAGTTTTTCTATACTGTTTTGTTATAAACTTTTTTGTTTGGATGTAGGTACGCTACTTACAATAGAATAACTGTAATACATACTGGATTGCAAACGCGTATCTTTTCATCAATGGTCAGCATGACATTCGTTTTTGACTAATAGACAACAGCTATACCTTAAGATGCCAGATAGTTTTGAAAGCTTTTTATATATATTTTTTTATTTCAAATAAAACTATCTTCTCGAGATTTTTTCGCGGATTTATTTTAATTTTTGGTTTCCGACGTTTCGAATGCTTTACACTTTAAAGCAATCATGATCACGGGAGAGACAAGATTGTTTTATGTAAAATGTCAAATATTCGCGTAAATCTTAGAAAGCATTATATTTTTTTTTATTCCTTATTCAGGGCACTGTCCATGACATCTTAGCATTTATACGTCTATCGCCTAGATTATGTACGTATGTATCTACGTATGTATGACGAACCTAGTACCTATTACAATTATACTGCTTAATATATATATATTTGTTATACAAATCTAGCTACCTATACTACGAAACATCTTTCTTTAAAGATTATTTTATTACACTATAACTTTCAAGGTTTTAAATTGGTTTTTTTAAGACCGTGAATATTAAAGTGTTATGAGGGAAATTTTAATTATTCGGTTAGTTTTAACTTTTAAACTATGACG